AGAATTAGTAAGAACTTTTTCAGCCCTTCTTTCTCTTAGACGCCTATCAATACTAATGGAAAGTTGAATCAATGCGTTTAAAGTAGGAGGAAGTTCGGTACGGGTGAGTTCATCTTTCACAGCTTCGGATAATCCGAGACGGAACTGATTGCGTAAGGTAATGTCGTTCCATTGGGTTTCTGTAGCCCATCTTTTAAATTCTGCAATATAATCTTCAACAGGTCTATTCTTTTGGTGTAGAGTTCTGATGGTTAAATCTGCAGTAGTTTGTTTATAAGGATCTTCATATAATAAAGACATAGCTTCAAAGAACTCGTCCAATGAATCTAATATGGGATCATCATTCTCTAGAAAGGAATGTGCCCAGGCCATAGGTTCACCTCTTAAAAAAGAGATCACAGAACAGACCTTAGATCTTTCAGTGAGATAAGATCTAGGTCTTAAAGCTATTAGAAGTTTGCAAGAATTCAAAAACTCTCTGTACTTTGATCTATCTCCATAAAAATTTTCTGGATTGCAGATAGCAGGATCGCTAGCCGATTGAAGAGCGGCATGAGGAAGATGACCTTGTATGTCTCTGACATAAATTAATATTCTCTCATTTGTAATCTGCAATTCTTGTAAACCCTGAGCAATTGTATCCACTCTATTTGTCAGGGCAGAGACTTGTGAATTAATATCTGCTGGTTCCATTGGATATGGCTGGATTATTCTGTAATATTCTGTAATACGAACTTATTTGGAACGCAACTGCAGAATTTTTTAATTACAGAAATTGATAGTTTTACCTATTTTTGTTACTGATGTGGAGGAGGGGATACTGTAGCTTTACACCCTCAAGCAGGTTGTTAATTGCAGGGAAAAAATAAGCCACTGAAGATTTGCACAGAGCCAAACAGTCCCAATTAAGAATAGTGCAGAGAATGCATGCAGTGTTAGGTTGAATTAAATGTAGTAGAATAACTACAAGCAAATTTATCAATGAGGCAAGACAGAGTTTGCAACTAGGAATAAATTGATTGAAGGAAGTAGTATTTAGCCTTAGAAACAGTTTCTTATTAGTAACTGAGAGTAACTTGATTGAAGGAAACAGTATTGAGCCTTAGAAGCAGTTTCTTATTAGTAACTGAGAGTAACTTGATTGAAGAAAACAGTACTTAGCTTAAGAGGCAGTTCTGGAACTGGAGAGCTTAATTTAATCAAATAGTTGAGGAGAGGAATAGAAGTCCATTTAACAAGCCGAGGTCGAGGAGTGGAGAAGGAGGTTAGTCATTCCAGAGCGATTTTCGGTACACGGTTAGTTCAAATAGAGCAGCTGGTAAGTGTTTCACAGTCACCTGTACATTAATCCAGCCCTTTGAATCTGGCGCGGTCTTCCTATGTAGCGTGGAAAGACCGCGTCAGAAAAAGGGGCGGGGCGAAGCTCCGTGAACCCGGAAGTGAGTTAGTTCGGCGAAAGGCACGGCAGGTATAACCTGACAGATATACATTAAGAATGCCTTGGATATAAGAGTTCAGAGATCCAAGACGAATTTAATTGAAGTTTAGTTACGATTATAATACACAATTATATTTGACCTAAGTCTATAAAGGTATGGACTAGGGAGAATGGGTTTCTGGATATGACAGTATCCAATGAATAAGTTGCTATTTGATGATTATCCTGTGTTTGTTAGACACAGACTAGGAATAAAAGTTTCTGGGTAGTATGACCCCAAGTTTATTTTATATTAGTTTAATTTAGTCAGTTGGAGTGTACTAAGGAATACGGATTGGTCAGAACATTAGGACAATCCTGCTTTTAAGATGTATTACATTAATAAGTCATCACAATTAAGGTCTAATGAGGAGAGTGGTGATAATTTATATTATTCTTTCCAAGTTATTTTAAAGTAAACTATGTTTCTATTCGATGAAAAGTTTGTTACTACAAGGTGGAGGAATTTTAGTGAAAATTATAATTATGTAAACAAAAATAAATCTATGATAGAAAGATTTCTGGGTGGAGATTTTCTAGAACAATAATTATTGTCAACAACATGAACATTATTTGAAGAATTATTATAAAACTTCATGGTTGATAACAACACAACCTTTGAAGGTTTGCAAACTATTATGAGTCTTATAAGTAGTGTGGATTTATTTCAGTTAGTGAGAGCCTACTGAATATACAAATTAAATACTACGATTGTATAGTATTGATACAATCATCACTAGGTGGTATTAATGGTATAGGAATGTAATTCATGAATACAAATGACCTAAAGATTTTAAGTTTCTAGAAAACATATGATTCATAGAAGTATAAGTGGATGTATATTATAGTAATACATGTATTAGTACTTAAGTAATATCAGGTATTGAGAATGAAAATACTTTGTGATGTGTGTCTGTAGGAATATGATAGTGATACACAGTTATTATTTAGAAAGTTGTCATCTTGATTTTGTTATCTACAAAAGACATGACTGTACCAGCGCAGGTAGATCTTTCTGATTGCTTTACATTGTTTATTGGATCAACACTTGTAAATATTTTATTTTATTCATTTATTATTGTTATATATATGTACATATTATGTCCAAGTAGTTATGATGTAACATGGATATGGATATCAATACACAGCTGAAACAGAGGGAGTTTGAAGGAAAGTAAGCAGTATGAGGGATAGAAACTCAACCTTCCAAGAACTATAATAGAAAGTTGTGACTACATCTTGTTCTGTGCTCAATGACTGTGATACGAGTGATGTATGAATGGACAGGTTAGTGACATTGTGTTATGGTATTAAAACAAACCATAAACAGAGGAAATTTAGAATATTGCATATTCTATGTTTCTATTGATTATATATGGATGTGTGGATTGACATAAGTAACAGATGGTCTAAGTCACATGGCTTTCTATGTATGAGAGCTCTGGAATGTAAGTTGGGGTTTTTGTCCTTATATAGCTAGAGTTATGCTCTGATGCCAGTATGGGCACTTCTATATAGTAATTGAACAACGAGACACTTGGTCTCTTGGCTCTTGGCTCTTGGCTCTCTTTCCTGTACAAGATGTAATTCTCCCATAAGAAGTCCAGCAATTGCCATCTGCTGTTGAACATTCATTATCCTGTAACATCCTTTGTTGTTTTAGTATGTATCAGTAACTAAGAATAAACCTGAAGAAACTGTAAGTCAGATTGCGTATTAGTACTTTTCATTAATATAGACATATATTAATGTGGAGAGCAAATTTGGCCCAAGACTATATATACAAAAGACGTATATATCAATCAAATGAAGAGAAGAAGAAATTAAGAAGATTTAACAGTGACGATCGATTTCAAGCTACATTTTACAAATGTTTACAGGTGCGCAGAAAGCACACTATTAGACGCTTCTATTTGACTCTCAGATATGAAGAACAGGCCCCAAAATCTACTATTTAGCAGTTTAGCAGCAAAACAATTAGAATGTATACAAGTGCTCAGTAAGCACACTATTAGACGCTTCTATTTGACTCTCAGATATGAAGAACAGACCCCAAAATTTACTATTTAGCAGTTTAGCAGCAAAACAATTAGAATGTTTACAAGTGCGCAGCAAGCACACTATTAGACGCTTCGATTTGACTCTCAGATATAAAGAACAGGCCCCAAAATGTACTATTTAGCAGATTAGCAGCAAAACAATTAGAATGTTTATCACTGCGCAGTAAGCGCACTATTAGACGCTTCTATTTGACTCTCAGATATGAAGTGCACCCCACTAATGTAATTTTTAACACTCAAAAATGTTTAAAGGGACACTATAGTCACCTGAACAACTTTAGCTTAATGAAGCTGTTTTGGTGTATAAAACATGTCCCTGCAGCCTCACTGCTCAATCCTCTGCCATTTAGGAGTTAAATCCCTTTGTTTATGAACCCTAGTCACACCCCCCTGCATGTGACTTGCACAGCCTTCCATAAACACTTCCTGTAGAGAGAGCCCTATTTAGGCTTTCTTTATTGCAAGTTCTGTTTAATTAAGATTTTCTTATCCCCTGCTACGTTAATAGCTTGCTAGACCCTGCAAGGGCCTCCTGTGTGTGATTAAAGTTCAATTTAGAGATTGAGATACAATTATTTAAGGTAAATGACATCTGTTTGAAAGTGAAACCAGTTCTTTTGTCATGAAGTCTCTGTCAATCATAGCCAGGGGAAGTGTGGCTAGGGCTGCATAAACAGAAACAAAGTGATTTAATATATATAATTATATTGAAGAAAGATGCACTCTCTGGTTTTTTTAAGAATATTAACGGTCTTTAATCCATCAAAGGTTTACAGGTTGTTTGATCAAAAAAATATCTCAAATAAGACAGAGGGGTATTTTTTTTATACACCTCTATATTATTATTGGGGCTGATGTGTATTGTAGTCATTGCTGCCACACAGGAATGAGGGGAGTGTGCGCAGGACTTATCTTTCTGTATTTGTGTTCACTTTTTGTATCACACAGCTTTGTTACAATGCTGCCGCCCATCCCATGTGTTCCCTATTAAGGGTTAATAAATATATAGGGGTGTATATAAAAAATACCCCTCTGTCTCATTTGAGATATTTTTGCCAGAAGCTCAAGGAAGCAAGCTGAAGGGTCAGTGTTAGGACCTGCTTAGGGGGGTCTGCCTTGACATTGGCAGGCGGGCATTCCCTCCAATGGCCATTGGAGTAACTAAATGATCTCCATTTGTCTAAATATACATAGAGATTAAGGAGAGAGCACAGGTAACTTGTTTTTCTTTGGTTTTTACTATATATTGGGGCTGATGTGTATTGTAGTCATTGCTGCCACACAGGAATGAGGGCAGTGAGCGCAGGACTTATCTTTCTGTATTAACATCTTATCTATGTTTAGACTAAAAGCGTAAGGGTGCACGGGGGCGTGGCCAACTACCTATGTGAACGGACGCATCTCTGGTGAGCTCCCGTCAAACCGATTACTAAAACACAGCCAGCCATAGTTTTTACGTGAAAATGGGTAACAAGAAGAAACCATACTTATCCCAGGACTCTGCTGGCCCGGGCTCATGCAAAAAAGCGGGCGAATTAGACAAATACTTTAGAGACAAAGTAAGAGTTCTCACGAAGGACGAGATCGAGGTGACGCCATCTTCACCATGTGGCTCCCCGCCTGCAAGCCCAACAGGCTCGGAACAATCCTGTCCCTCTGGAGCTTCAAATCTGAAGGAGATTCTGCAGATCCTTCCCTGGAAAGAGGATCTTGCCTCTATGTTGGCGAAATTGGAGAACTCTATGCAAGAAAGGCTGTCATCACCTCAGAAGTCCAGCAGATTGGACTCAGAGTTGGATACTTAGAAGAGGACAGAGACAATCTGCAACTTAGAATACACCTCCTGGAACAAAGACAAGACTCACGGGAGACTAAAATCTCTCATGTAATGAGACATGTGGAAGACCTCGATAACCGAGGCAGGAGAAATAATCTCTGCATTAGAGACCTGCCTGAGGCCCAAGGGGACTCCGATGATATTACGAGCATCTTTCAAATGTTTCTTAATAACATCCTGCATTTTGCAACCGATACACCTATATTGTTTGATAGAGCACATAGAGCGGTGAGACCTTGGGAACTCCCTCAGGAAGACTACATTATTACACCCTTAAGGAGGATATACTGCGCCAGTCCAGGAATTCCCCATTCAACGGTCCCAACGCACGGATTCAGATACTCCCTGACCTGGCTTGGCTGACTCTCCAAGGCAGTAGGGCACTACGGCCCATCACGCAAGCATTGCAAGCCAAAGATATCCGTTATCGATGGGGATACCCTTTTTCCTTGTCGGTGTCCCACCAGGGAATACAATACACAAGATCCAGCGCACTCACCTATCCACTAAACAGCAACTTCAATGTTGAAAGATTTTATTTGTTTTTTTAAAAACACCTAATCTAGGCAAAAATAATGGGGTTTAGTTACATTATATGATCATACATTGCATAAGCCTGCCACAACGTCAATGTACCCCATCTTTGGCAGGTCCTACACTAACAGCCTAATGTCTGCTCTTATGAGATTAACCTACTTGGGGAAAAAATTCCATCTGGGGCTCTCTGCAGTACAAGGCTAAATAGGGCCCTGGGATGAGGCACCTGTGACAGGGAGGGGTGCAAAACCAAGGAGTTGGCTAGACCAGGGAATACAGTCATCTATCACTACAGTATTGCATGTCACAGACTTTCTCAAAGCTCTCGACCTCCCCCATATGGATATACAGGACTGGTATGATCATTCGTTGCAGGGGGCCCATCAAGCCTTACCGCAGAGGAACCAATGGAAGGGTCTGATGGACAGGAAGAGACCACCAGGGAGAAAGCTTCCCTTATCACAACCCTCCAGAACTCGGCCAGCTTTGCCGGACAATTGAATAGGAGTTCCTGGCATTTTCATCTCTTAGACCCAGACCTTATGGATGTAATACGAAACATACAAGTGACATGTACTGATCTTTTGCTCCATACCCATTTGCATCCCAATAGATCTCCCCCCTTTGTTATTGGACTCCCTGATACCATGCAGATAGGACATCACCACAATTCAGCTTAATGACGCAAGTAATTCTATGTATGTAGTACACTATGTATTTGGGTATGCACCATGTGTTATTAGGCTTGCCAGATTTAATACCCAAGTTTTTTGAGAGCATATAACTGATGGGTAATCATATCTAAGGCACTCTCTGCAATAAAACACAGGGTGAGACTGGGCTGCAGTAACTGATATTATAATTCCCAAACCTTGTGAGTAACAGAACATGGAAAACAGGGGAAAGAAACTGCACCCAAAAGGATATGTACAAAACTTGATATGTACACAGGTCTTTAAAGGTTGTATACACTTTTGACTTCAAAAAGAACAGAAGAAACAATAATAGTGCAATACAGTACGTACAATGAAAGAGTGATGTGTGATCATATGTGGTTTCACTCACATTTGATTGAGCTATCTCAGAGCTCAGCTGTTTTAGCATATGGACGGAACAATCCCCGTCTAAGGTAATATGTGGTGGTATAGGCACCTCAGATGACTCCAATGAAGTGCAGTTGGAGTACATATATAGGAGTAAATACAAAGGATGCTCCAATGGTGAAGTAAGTATTAGTGAATATGGAGTAAAAAATAAAGTAAAGTACTTACATTTACCAGAGCAATAACTTGCTCTGGTGTATACAGCATTGGTGTTAGAATCCCCACCTAGGAATAGGATGATGCCAGGAAGTAATAGATGGAAAAATAAAAGTATACAATTAAATGTAAAATATACTATTTACCATATAGAAAACATTAAAAACAGTATAAAATATGAAGTTAGATACCATTTATTTACAAACAACATTATACAGATGAGTCAGGGCGCTATGTTATTCTCCAGGGCCTTGTCAGCACTTTTCCAATTACCTTGGCTAATATTTATTTGCCCAATAAACACCAATGAAACACATTTTGTAGGATTTTGACCATAATTCAAAAATAGACCGAGGGTGCTCTGATCATAGGAGGAGATTTCAACTTCTCCTTGGATGCTTAGAAAGATAGCACTGCCACACAATCACTCCATCTGAGGTCCGCAAGGGCACAAATGAAATGCCTACTTCACAGCCACCAATTAGTCGATTGCTGGAGAGTGCTCCATTCCATCACGAAAAATTATACGTTCTATTCGAAGCCTAACTCTACTTACACTAGAATTGATTTCTTCTTAAAGGAACACTATAGTCACCTAAATTACTTTAGCTAAATAAAGTAGTTTTAGTGTATAGATCATTCCCCTGCAATTTCACTGCTCTATTCACTGTCATTTAGGAGTTAAGTCACTTTGTTTCTGTTTATGCAGCCCTAGCCACACCTTCCCTGGCTATGATTGACAGAGCCTGCATGAAAAAAAACTGGTTTCACTTTCAAACAGATGTAATTTACCTTAAATAATTGTATCTCAATCTCTAAATTGAACTTTAATCACATACAGGAGGCTCTTGCAGGGTCTAGCAAGCTATTAACATAGCAGGGGATAAGAAAATCTTAATTAAACAGAACTTGCAAGAAAGAAAGCCTAAATAGGGCTCTCTTTACAGGAAGTGTTTATGGAAGGCTGTGCAAGTCACATGATGGGAGGTGTGAATAGGGTTCATAAACAAAGGGATTTAGCTCCTAAATGGCAGGGGATTGAGCAGTGAGGCTGCAGGGGCATGTTCTATACACCAAAACTGCTTCATTAAGCTAAAGTTGTTCAGGTGACTATAGTGTCACTTTAACTACACATAGAGATCTCTCCCTTATCACTAAGGCATCTATCGGTAGTATTACCTGGTCTGACCATTCACCAGTACTCCTTCAAATGTAAATTCCATTTCTCACGTAAGGCAAGGGCCAATGGAAATTGAACACTTCTATATTACACCACCAGGAAGCTAGCAGGACCGCTAGGGTGATCTCTCATTACTTTAAGGAAAATCAGTCACCGGATACTACCCCTTTCCTACAATGGGAAGCACATAAATACGTTATTAAAGGGGAATTAATAAAATGTGGTTCTTTTTTGAAAAAAGAAAGTATTAAAAAAACTAAACTAATATGTCTGAACTAGACTGTCGTAAACTTCTATCCCTCAGATCTGAACTTACCATATTTTACAATCTAAAACAAAAAAAAACTCTCCTGTGGAATAAACAACTATTTTACACCCAAGGTAATAGATGCGGGAGACTATTAGCAAATGCATTGAAACAGAGGCAGGAAAGAACATATATCCCACAGATTAAAATGACTGCTAATAAAATGGTGTATACTAATGAGGAGATAAAGAAGGCATTCCGGAACTTTTATCATTCCCTGTTCATCTCTAAAGAGGCACCAGACACAAATAAAATTAGTGCTTACCTGGCAGATAAATTTGAGAGGATACTCCCAAACGCAATTTTACAATCACTGGATGAACCATATACTTTAGGTCAATTGACCAATGTAATGGTACAAGTGCTAATTAGTCAAATACCTAGGTTGCAAGTGTTACTAAAAAATAAAATCCCATACATGATGTTACACATTAGGTCGGGCAGCTGCAGTACCTTTGACCCACGGTTACAGATTAATAATATATGCTTCACGTTTTATGCTTAACACACAAAACCACTGTTTACTGAATAAGCCTCTTGCAGCATGGAGAACACTAAAACACACCTCTCGGTATGGTATTGTTACACAAGAGTAACTTGGGAGGCTTACTGACTAAATCACAATGGAAAAAAATTAGATTTTTTTTTCCAAAAATTACAAAAAATGAATTTTATAAAAATAATAAAAAAAATAATATTTATATAATTTGGTTATTAACTGCTAATATTTATAACTCCAGCAAAATCCAAACAGACTACACCATTATGTTGTGGTTCGTGGTTTTGGATTAATTTGTTTGTGCAATTCAAAGGGTTTTACAATAACTACGGTGTTAAACTTTCAGGAGTGCCAAGATAGCTGCTGAATGTGCTTCAAAGAGCATCAAGATGGCTACCAGTCATGTGTTCTAGTGTAACCTAGAACTTCCAGCCTTCATATATTTGCATGCATTCAAAACCAACCTTTCATTTTATACAGCTATAATTTTAGATTGTTATCTGCATAAGGTATTTTGACAGAGTTATATCCTAACAGGTAAAGACTTGTTACCTCAGATAGAGAAAAAGATGTATAAGGGCTGCGCCAAAGGGAGGAGAGCAGGATAAAAAGCAACAATAGTGCTCTCAATTGTGATGGGATAAGAGAGTAAAATAAAAGATAAAATAATACTCACAAAGATAGAGCAGAGGTACTGCTCTATGGATAGGCGTTGGTGGTATGATTCCCACCTGGGATTTCTTTGAGTACTGGAAAAGTAAAATTGCCAGTGGAAGTAAAAGTAACAGGAACGTTTAAAATGCCAGGAATAAGTAAAAAAGTTTAAAGTGCATAGAGAGTGCAATAAAAAGAGGATTGGTACGGTAAGGTAGCCAAAAAACTTTTATTGTTCTAAAATACAAGAGTAAATAACCATAAACGCGTTTCACCATAAGTGGCTTCTTCAGAATGGAAATAAAAAAAAAAAATATTCCATTCTGAAGAAACCACTTATGGTAAAACGAGTCATTTGCAACTTGTAAAACTTACCAGAAACATTGAACATGAGCTCATACTTAGCTTACATGAACACAGAAAAAAACTAACATATCAGTTTTCAGCCAGAGACAAAGTCAAATATCCGTTCAAACATCCCTCACACCTACCTTCAGGACCTCTAATAACCCCTTCAGGCAAAAGTACAAAT